TATATAGTAATATCATTATTTATTTACAGTATCACATAAACATTATACATAAATATATAATACATAATTATTAATATTATGTCAATGGGAATAACACATGATACACAGCGGCCACGTTACAGCTTATCRCTTTTTATCGCTAAATGCCAATAGTCGTCAAAAATTGATAGATACTGCTGCAATGAAAATGACTATAATGAGTCGGCGAATGCCGCTACCACCACGGCACCATACTACCATATTAGGTACTCCATAGCTAGCTCCCACTGCAGTGTGTACGGACCTGAATGCAGGTAAAGTTTCAGGGATCCAACGGGTACCCACCCTCCCAGAACAATTTCTAGGGCTAAGCAATTGCATTAGGTAAACGTCGTTCACCACGCCACTGTATAGTCGTATTGATCAAATATTAAAACTATATAGGTAACTTTATAAGATATAACATTTTTTTAATGATTGATTTTCTGAGATCTAAAATTATTAACAATAGAACATCACCTAATCGTTGGTGGAACTTATTATTACAATTTCATATAAAACAGGAAGAATAAAAAATTAATTATCCCTACCTAAGCTAACAGCTAACCTATCTATTTTAAGCTCTTACATCTATTTAATTTAAATTAATTTAAAAAAAATCTATTTAACTTATTTCCATGGCTAAATAACTTTAAATAACTAGTTACCTAAGATCAGTAAAATTAATAAAAAACAATAATTTTACGGAGAAAGTTTGTTTCATAATATTTAACATTAATTGACGATTGGCTATCATTTATTTTTAATTTATAGATAGATTTAATTTTTAGTTTTATCGATTTTACCGAGATTAGATTAAGATTAAAAACGAAATTTAACCATGATAATAATTCCATAAATTCATTTTTACAATTACAAATGAAAGATTTAACGCCCTACATTATTTGGACGATAAAGAGATACATAGCGTTATCTATCGTGGTCGCGATCGTTTAAACTTTTAAAGTCAAACTTTTGTATAACAGAAACTTAAGATCTGAGTTTAAAATGTTTAAATAATCGTCCTAATTTCTTTTAAGTGAATTCAATATTACTATATAGTAGGGCTGAAGCCTCCCTTTCCAAATCTTAAATGATATTTGCGCCTATATCATATTAAGCCTTACGGCGAATGTCCATTATAATAATATTAAGCACTTTGCTCGCGACCATTTCTTAGTTTTGCCGATAGATAGCGTACCCTATTCGATATTTATTTAGTTTTTAAATTTCCACCAAAAGGCGTTTACTACCCAATAAATTTGAGGAGTGGAAGAAAAAATTGTCACGATCGTGACTGGCCATGACAGATATAAAACAATGACCTCTAAAAAAAATTGTATGGAATATTTTTTTTAGTTTTGATAAGTTTAATTTTTAATATTTAAAATTGAAATTGCTTTTCAAAAAGTTATTTTAGCATTTGAATAAATAAATAAATAGGTAGTTACTTATTCAAGATTAACTGAGTGTTGAGTGTATCTTTCTACTCATCTGCCAAAATTATTGTCCTATCGAAGTTTAGAGTAGTAAGTATTTTATAAAAGTGGTGAAATAAAATATATTCGTACAGTTTGCAACAAAAAAGTTTATTGTATACGCCCTACTTATTAGGTGTAACACGATTTCCAAGCACAGCCCCACTCTTGTGCCTACACTGTGCACAACCGATGATCTAGGCGTGTATAATATTATTATTACATGAACGTCGTGAGTAAATAATTTTGAAAAAATTCAAAACTTTTGGATGATATACAATACGCAAGCTGTGAAGAGTTCTATTAAATATAATGCAATTTCCTTTTTTTTTTTATTTTATTAAAAGAAAATATATACAATCTGTATAAACAATACAATAAGTAATATGGTTGATTAATATACAAAACTGGACGGCTTGATGGAAGGGAGTGTCCAAACGACACTACTTCAATCTAGACTTTTATTGATATTTTTTTATTTTTATTTATTTAAATTCCTTTAAGTGCGATTTACCTATGTTATAAACATTAAACTTTCGTATGGGACGTAAAGTGCTGTACAGGACGATGCTATGCCGATATGAACGAATGCAGTAAGTATGTACATTCAATTTTATGTCAGTCTATTCACGTTAATATTATGTCGCCATCACGTTAAAAACAATGGACTGGTCGTAATCGGTTATTGTTTCGTTTGGACCATCATCCGTTATTATTATATATACTGTTGTACCACAACGGATTATCATCGCATCCATTAATTATCCGTCCAATAATGATTGTTATAGTAATTTATCAGTTTGTTACTGTATTTTAGTCATAGTTTAGGATATATTATATAATGTCTAATCGGCTAAACATCATAATATACATAACCACAACTATAATATAGTATTATTTTTATTCTKTTGTGTTCCGTGTTAATTAAAATATTTGATTATGACATTATTTTTTAATTGGGTTATCATCGTCGTCCGTCGGACTTTGAAATGCCGATCTATAGGGGTTTTGATGTTTTTATAGTCTTTTCGATAAGAACTTCTTGTAGTACGGTTTAATTAAAAAATAAAGTTTCGTCATGATGGGAGAATCCGATTATTATAGCTGTTTCGTCTCGAGGCCAATCCCTATTATTCATATGTATTATATATAATCGTTATTTTATAAAAATCTTCCTTCTTATGTATTAAGGAAGTAAGTTGCTTTAGCGTCGCAGAATGGATTTCCAAGAAACAACATGCATTTAATGGTAATTGTAATTGAATATTTAATTAGACTTAAAATAACTGTAATTATGTTAAAGAACAGTTGTGCTAAAGTGTATTTACAGACCAATTTAACAGCTGAAGAATAGCTGGAATGGACTTTTAAGTACCTACTATATTTAGCTTAAACTAGTTATTATAGTTAAACAAAGTTACGTAGTTATTTTAAAGTTTGGAATACCTACCTACCCTACATCTATATGGTCACATACTATATGGTTATTTATAATATAGAGGTTACCTACCTATATCCTATATATACGTTTTTTCCGTATATTTTCAATTCTATGATTAGTCAGTTAAAACGAGCGTTGAAACTTCGAGCTGCAATATTTTTAAAACTATATTMTTCATTAAAATGTTAAATGTTTTTTTTTTCAAACTATAAGTGATATTTGATTATATAGAGTTTTGAATTATATTTTACAAGATTTTTATTATATTTTTTCATTACAATTGACTAATTATATGTTTTAATTTTTCTTTATTTAAAAAAAAAAAATAAGATTTTCCAGAAATAGCAAAATATATTAATATATTTATTTAAATACCTATATTATTACAAAATATATATTTTTTTTACAGAAACAGCATATAAATATTTTTTTCAATATTGTAAACAATAGATTTTAGATTCTGAACGAAGTGATGAATGTATTGATTTTACAATGATGTGTGTTTTTTTATTATTTTTGTGTCTGCGTACAGCATAACTAGTCGAAATAATGCTTCAATTTCAAACTTTGGGGGTGGTTTCCGATGTAAAAGTGATATCCTTGGTACATTATAGATTTCAAAAGTTAACATTATCCAACAGTTTTCAAAAAAATCGAGAAAAACAAAAAAAAATGACAGAAAAATGGGAATTTTTACGCAAAACCAGTTTTCGACCAAATCGGTTTTCTTATATGGTTGTAATTCAAAAACTACTCACTGTAAATACTTGAAATTTTCACCAAATGTTTATGTTAGTGTTATCTATATACAGTTTAATTTTCAAAATGTTTTGAATTTTTTTTAGTTATTTATAGACCACTGAAATTTTCAATTTCTTTTAGAATTTTTTTTTGAAGTGCCGGTAAAAATTTAATACAAGGTTCCTTATGAGTTGTTCTTATTGTAGCTAAAAATAATTAAAAATCGTTAGTCACAATTTTTTTTTATAAACGTTTATAGTTCAAATTTTTACGAAATCTGTCGAAAACGCGAAAATTTGCAAGTAATTTTGAAGTTGAAAAATCATTAAATTGTTTGTGTTTATAACTAAGAATTAAAAATACAACACTTAGTTTTCCATAAGTTTTCCTTCAAGTAGCTATAGAGAAAACTCGAAGCATCATTATAGGAAAAATTTTAAGTGCGTTAAATTTTTTCGAAATAGCGTAACGATAACGATTTATCCTGAAACGATCTTAAATATTTGTAATTAATAATTATTCAAAAAGTATAAGTCGTAGATACTTGAAAATTTCACAAGTTATTAAGATTGGCATTTTA